AGAAAACCACCACAAATTTTGTGCTGTTCTTCAGCAAAACCAAAAACAACTGTAGAAAAGTTTAGGAAAGTTTTTTTCTCAGGAAAAAATCAGGAAAACAAAATCACAAATACTACTAACTGCTTGGTTAGCTGCCTGTTTGTTGAGTAGCAATTATGTTCTACTTATGTTCTACAATGCGCTATGTAAGTTTGTTACAGATCAGTCTCAGGCATAGTTCCACAATCTAAGCCATTCTTGACAATTTTCTTTTTAACAAGTAACTTCTTATTTGATGTAATGAGACATGCCATCCCTTTATTGATCTTACTATGTCAGAATTGTGTCAGTCTGTGCGCAGCTCTGCAGGGCATTTTGTTTCAGTATGCTTACACGTGTCCAGTAGAAATCAGAAAGACTTCTCATTAAGTCAAGTGCTCTCTTTTTTTTTCTTTTACCAGGTTTTATTTCTCTTTTGGCATTATTTCAAAGTATTGTCAGAAGAACTTTTCTCTTTTATGGGGATGTAGTTTGCTTTTTGTCTACAACTTTAAAAATGAAAGGCTTGGAGGCTATCAGTAATACACTTTACAAGAAAAACAAGCTCTAAAATACAATACTCTCAGCAGCTAATATTTATACACATTCTTCAGTTCACTAGTAATCCAGAGAGATTACCAGAACCCTTTTCTGGTAAAATAGTCTTTAATAATGATTCTTTAATAATTATTTATAATATAAACAAACTTTATTACACCTAACTAGATTTTTATTCCCATTAATTTTGTCTGAAGCTGTTCCAAGGTCTAATCTCATAAAAATCAGAAACTTTCTTGTAATTTTTAGCCTTTATTCAGGCAGGAACATTCTGTATTTCATTATTATGTTTAAACTTTACTTTTTGGTTTAAAAACAATGAACGTATTTGCAGAGAAATGTTTCTGTTTTAGCTTTTTCTTTTACCAGACTAGACAAGATAAGCGCTTCTAACCTCTCCTCAGAATACCCACTTTCAACTGTTGATCAGAATAGCTCCTTTCAGTCCCTTTTCCTGATTGCAACATCCTTTTGGGACAGACATGGACAGTTCAAGTGCACTGCTGCAGAAAATATCTGCTTCCTCAAGTGCTGGAGTTGCTGTTTCCCTCTCTCTACTGGATTCAACACATTTATAATTTATTAGCCTGCTGCTAATAAATAAACAGCATCTAATAACATTTTTCATAGTCTATTAATTATCACACAGTTCAATTGCAGCAAGTCTCTCAACACAATAAATCATTAGATAGAATAAGGACCAGTTGTCTGTTCTGGCTTCAGCTGAAGTGACATTTTGCTGACCCACCACTAATTTATCAAATATCCTTTTGTTATTTTTAAACAACAGAAACATAAGCCAAACAAATGATATCTAATAAATGGCCAAGGAAACAAAAAAAAGTTGATAAATTTGGAAAGGTAGGCGTCTCTGTAAGTCTCTGCCATCTGGGTTTTCTCCAAGACGATCTCTTATGTTCCTGGAAAAGCCCAACTGTGTCCTGGTCAGGAATAATCCCTTTCCCTGTAGGATCCTGAACTGATCCCTACTCCATCTCAACTTCACCCAAGGGTAACAGCTTAACATTGTGCTCAAATGAGTAACTGAAGATCCTTATTTTCCTCTTCCTGTTCCTATTTAACTGCAGGACACCTATTGCGATGGTTGCCTAATTCTCTTTGGGAGCTTGTGGAAAAGAATGAAAGCTTGGCTGGTATCAGTACACACACTGGCACTTTAATATATTGCTTCATCTATTTGACTTCACCTTCAACCACTGCAACTCATTCCAGTTACTATTTATTTGGCCTCCTCCCTTTCCAGATCACAGAGCTTGCTTCAACAAACACTTATTCACATAACAAAACTTTCCACGAACAGCAGAATTAATGAAGCCTGCTTTCCTAGGGATTGATGTTGCTGATTGCCAAGCTCCATGCTCACACTGTGTGCTCCACGATACCTTCACTATGCAAAACCAGCACTTTTAAGTGGCCAGCGTGAGTCATAGACCTCCTGCTTGGCTCGGCACTCTACAGCCGTTGCACAGTTAGTCAGATATCAAGATCTTATGGTTGTTGCCAAGGAGAATGTATTGCATTCCTTTGTCTAACTGGAAAATCTTTTTTAAAATACTTTAAAATTAAAATAAACGGAGCTCCAATGGAGTTCTGTGTTTCCTGGAACTGTGAATTTAGAAAGAATGGATAGCCAAGGAAAATAAAACTGGGCATGCATTTGAAATGACTGCTGAAGAGTTAGGAATGATGCACCTGGAAGACCAAATATGTATTTTTACTGTATTGTAAAAATACACATGTACATATGTACATAGTATTTTTACTGTAAGTGTACATGAGAAGATTACTAAACTTCCCAACACATTAATGGGATGTATAGAAGGGAAATGATCACAGATGAGCACTTTTAAATTTTATTTCTTTTGGGGCTGTGTACGTGTTTAATTGCTTTTACCTTTGGAGGGTGAGCACAGCTAGTGCTTTTAATCACTAGGGGAAGTTCTGGTTAGACATAGCTTCTCTGTGCCTGTGATTTCTCTTTATGATAGCATTTAAAGAAAATGTGGTGCTATGACTGTGATATTGAATCAAAGCAGCAGGCATTTCAGTCTAAGTGAGGTGAAAATCCTGGACTACTTCTTCAAGGATGGCAAAACTACATGGAGGGCTACTGCACGTGCACGTGAAGGCACAGTAACCCTGTGACACAACTAAGGGATAGCCAAGAAAACAAACAAGCAAACAAACAAGCATGCAAAAAGGCTGTGAAAATGTGTCCCATGATGTGTGAACTTGTTTGTCTTGTCAGGACCTTTACTGGCAGAAAGGCACATGACTAGCACTTGGGCTGAGAGTGTGAAGAGCAAAGGAGGAAGTTACAAGACGGTTTACATATTAGCCAATTTTTTTTCCCCCAATGTGTAACACTTCAAGACAAGGATAAATTTGAGCAAGTTGGCAATGTTTTGGTGGTGACAGACTACATTGACTGCACAGTTAAGAACACCCCCTGCCAGGAGCTGTGCACATGGTTCTGGGGGCACAGGCAGTGGGTACACCAGGAACAGCTCTCATAAGTGGAATCATATTTACTATCTCCATACAGAGCTGGCTTAATTTTTATTCATTGATTTCCCCTTTCATGGTTTTTCCAGTCTCTGAAGTATTTTCATAAAACACCCACACCCTTATCAAGCTCTGTTTATGTGACAGCCACCTTAGGTACCCTGTCAGCCTTTGATACAAGTGTCAGAACACCTGAAGTCTATCCAGGCTTGTGATGCCTTGTTCTTACTTAGTTTTGTGTAAAATATAATGTCAATCACAAAATCATGTAGGTTGGAGAAAACTGTCACCATCACCAAATCCAGCTGTTATTGAAACATTGCTAAGTCCACCACTGAACCCTGTCTCTAAATGTGACATATGCACTTCTTTTATCCAGGGATAGTGACTCAACCACTTCCCTGGGAAGCCGTGTTCTAATGTTTGGCAACTGCAATGATGTAGAATTTTTTCCTAATATCTAATCCAAACTTCCTCTGTCACAATGTGAGGCCGTTTTCTTGTCATCCTGTCATTATGTGCCAGAAAATACCATGCAAGTACGACCTAATTCAGGCAGTTGAAATCCATGTGCCAGTGGATATGTCAATACCTCAGTCAAGGCAGTTCAGTGCTTGCTGGTTGTAAAAAGCTCGCTGTTGCATTAAGCACAAAGCTCATTCTATGAGGGCTGTTTGCTACACAAAGTCAGTGTAGTTTCACAATCCATTTTCTTCAACCTTAGCACAGCTGGGAGGAGATGTTAGCTCTGTACCCCACACTGATCCTACACCCCACAGCACCACTTCATCATCTCTGGGAACACCTGATTTCTGAGGCTATAACAGTGAGGTGCTTTCTTCAGCATCCATTGCTAGCTTGTGACCTCTTCTCTCCTTGCTACTCATTTCTTCTCACACAGCAAATTGTGCTGTCTCCTGAGTTTTTCCAGTGTGGATATTAGATGGCAAGAAAATCAATTTCTCCACACCTTTCCCTAGGGAGTGAACTAATGCTTGGGACAGGAAGAGAAATAGCTCTGACAAGTAGCTCTGTTTCCTCCTTCCTGTCTCCTTGAAAGCCTGAAAAAACGCGTGGATGTCAAAGATCCACCAAGGTGCCTCCACTTTAGGTCTGAAAAAGCACAATTTGCAAAACCACTGACAAGAGCTTATATAGCTGCCACATCCTCATCACAGCTGCAGAGGCATGTAGCAGAGGAGGGTTCTTCCATGTCCTTCTACTCATCTGGCCCAGGGTGGCCTTGACTTTGAAAGGTTAAGGCACAGAACCACCTGACATTGGGACACTGGATGGGATACACAGGAACAGCAAGATGGCAAAAGCTGCAGTCTCCATCTCGCTCAGCAAACTTCAATTTCTTGCATATACATTTAGGTTATTTCCAAGAAAGAATAAAGCCTGCCAGTGTAAGTTAGGATTCCTCTACGTGTATGAGCTCAGTGTGCTGTTTCTGGAACACTCCACAGAGTGAACACCTCGTTTTTTAAGAAATGGGGAACGAGCACAAGTCACAACACGTCGAGCTGGACGGTGCTTTCCAGGCGGCTGGGGCTGGCAGGTATGGCCCCGCAGCAGCACTCCAAACAGAGCATTGACAAAGCCAGCAAGGGCATCTCGGAGCGCAACATCCTCCTCATTGCTGGGGCTGGGGCCGGAGCCGGGGCCGCCGCAGCCGCCAACCCACGCTTCCGTGGCTCCCCGCGGCTCCCCCTCCTCCCCTTCCCCCGGCGCCCCCCGGGCGCTGCCCGGCTGTGACCTCCGGGCCGCCACCCGCCCCCGCACTATCACTGCCGGGCATCCCGCCCCTTCCTGCCCGGCGCAGGCGCCGCAGCGGAGCGGGGCGGGGGCAGGCGTGGGAGCGCTGCGGGGCTCTGTGTGCGGGGCGGTGGCCTCCGCTCGGTCCCCGCCGGGCGCCATGCGGGTGCCGCTGTCCCTCCTGGCTGTGGCGGCGCTGCTGGCGCCCCGCCGGAGCGCGGCTTCCCAAGGGGAGCAACCGCCCGCAGGTAACGGGCGGGGCGGGACGGGGGGATGGGGCGGCCCGGGCAGGCCGACCGGCTGATGGGCAGCACGGGCCACCTGCGGGGCGGCGGCACCGGCACCGGTCCCGGCCATGCCGCGCCCTCCTGCCCCGGCACCCTCCGTGACCGAGCGCCGCCGGTGGAGCCGCCGGCCCCGCGTCGCTGCCGCCGGCCGCTGCGGGCGCAGGGAGCCGTCGGGGCAGTGCGAGCGGCCGGGCGGCGGCGGGAGGAGCCCCCGCTGCCCGGGGCTGTGCCGTGCTCCCGCCGAGGGGCCCGGCCGAGCTCTGTGGGTGCGCGGTTCAGCCTGGCCCCAGAGGCCGTCTGGCGGCGCGGCGGCGGCGCGCTGGTGACATCAGCCTTGTTTCGGCTGTTCGCGCATTTTGGCTCGCAAAGCTGGAGCGGCGTGTGCGTCGGACAGGCCTGCTCCGCTGTATTTTATAGCTTCGTATCTCCAAGGGAGTAGAGAAACTGGGAAATTCGGGTCGAAAATGGGGAGCACAGGACAGGGGAGTGTAAAGAAGGTATCGGGATCGTGGCCTGGGACACGCACATTTTGGCCAAGCACTCCTGGGAGGAGTGGCTTGCCAGCGGAGAGCAGCATTCTCTCTGTTTGCACAGCAAGTAAATTACGAAAAAAATAGGCTTACTAGTTTCATTTTAAACTGTTAAAGTTCATTAAAAACAGAGGTTCCTGTTTAATAGTCAAAAGGGAACATGCATTTAGTTTTTATTGAGGCTGCTGAGAGCTGGCTGTGTGCCCAGGCTCCTTGGATTCTGCAAATGGAGATTTCTTGGGAGTTCAGATCCATGCCCAGGTGAAGTGACTGAACTTGGTTGCCCCTGAGCATGCTTAGCTTTGTCTGATATGGACTGGTGGTGCTAGAAACAGTAATCTGCTTGCATTATTGTCCCTTAATAGTTTGCATTTTGAATGTCCAGTTCATTTGACTTTGTGTCTGATTATGACTGGTGAACTTTGCAGGTACACTATCTTTTTCCCCCATTGGATCAGTAAGATAGCTCGATATGTTAAATATTGTCTTGTTTGCTCTGACTTAGTCTCTTTGTAAGGGCTTGCTTTAATTGCTAGTAAAATATGCCACTTCTACATTGTATTAAGCATTTTTAGGGTAAAAAGCACAATACCAGTAAATCACTTGTCAAACAAGCCTGCTATAATCCAGCCTAGTCCAGCACAACAGTTATCTCTGTAAACACAGAGAGTAGTGCTATGGTGTAGCATGGTTTTATTTGTAATGACTAATAACTTACTTTGTTATAATATTGATGCAAGCAGATGTGCTGAACCACAGGGGAAGAATTAAGGTGGAAAGGGAAGTCTGAACCGTGTTTATGATGCTGTCACATATAGAATAGCAGAATGGGTCAGGTTGGAAGTGAGCACAGTGGGTCATGTGGTCCAGCCTTTTCCTGCTCAGTCATGGTCATCCTGGGGCCCATGGCATGGGATAGCATCCAGGATAGCATCTCCCTCTTGAGTATTTCCAGTGAGGGAGACTCCACAGCCTTTCTGGGCAATCTGTTCCAGTGCTTGGTCACTCACATAGTAAGGAAGTTCTTCCTCATATTCAGGTGGAGCTTTCTGTGCATTAGTTTCTGCCCGTTGCCTCTTGTTCTGTTGCTTGGCACCAGTGAGACACCCTCTCCTTTTACTCCTCCTTCAGATACTTGTAGTTATTGATGAAGTCCCCTCTTGTTCATCTCTTAATGGAACAGGCCCAGCTCCCTCAGCCTGTCCTCGTAATGGAGGTGCCCCAATTCCTTGATCAGTTTTGTAGCTCTCTGCTGGACCTGCTCCACGAGCTCCACGTCTCTTGTACTGAGGAGCCCAGAACTTCTGTGGCAACAGTTGTATGATTATTTTTTTTCCCTTAAATCTTACAGGGCTTTCAAAGTGCCAGTAGTGTAATACGTATATTAAGGCTGAGTGTGTAATGAGTAAATGTTTGGTCATCTTCATCTTCCATTGTAGGACACTGTTTTCCTTAGAAAAGGAACAAAGCCAGATAACCCAGCAGCAGTTGGAACATCTGCATTTCCTGCAGCTGGGTGCCCAACATGCCTGCATTGATAGGCCTCTGACTCCACGGTGGAGCTGGGCACTTGTTGATGGGAACTCTCAGTCTGCATTTTAGTATCATGGAAGACAAGGTCCGTGCCAAGGTGAAGAAGATTTAGAGGCTATGGCGGCGGTTCAGATGTTTCCTGCACATTGTAAGCCGCATTTCCAAGGATGTGTGTAGTTCATTCAGGTAGCTGACTTCCTGTTGTCAGCTTGGTGGCCTTGAGTTGTTCTTTATGATTTAGATTACTGACATTCATAGCAATTTACTGTCAAGCTGTAAACAAAAGCAAATTAGATGGTAGAAAGTGCTGTATTTAGATGTCATCTAATACAACACTTTACAGTGTTATAGCAAAAGGGATGGACACTCAAAAAATAGATAAAACAATATTTAGCTTGTATTATTATATGTGGTTTTTTAAGTGTCCATCTTGTACAACTTGCTGTGGTTTTTCTCAAGATGGTGATCTCAGTCTGCCTCTCCTCTTAATACAGCTTACAACCTTGTGGAGATTTTTATCATAAACAATGATTTTAAAAACTCCATAGAACAGTGTCGAACCTCTGAGCCCTTAGAAAATAAAATTCTGTTGTAAATAGAAGCTGTAAAAATGCTCCATCTACTGTGTATAATGTTTATCCACGATACTTAAGTTCATTCCACTAAATAGTTAAAAAATCATTAGCTTTCAATTTTACGGGTCATGGTACTCATTTAATTTGTAAACCAATTCCTTTGTGGTTTTGAGGTCTTTCAAGAACTTCTGGTACAACCTTCTGCATAAATTGTTTTACAAGCATTAATTTAAGCTTGTTTTCAGTAAAGTTTTTAAGGAAGTACCATCCAGGTATGGGAGTGGCGTTACAAGAGGAATGCATGTCCTGGGTTTCTTTTGGAGGAATAAATGAAAGTTGGCCAAGGCAAGCACATGCAAGCATTTTCACATACACCTCGTGGCTGCTGCCTCTTAAAAGAAAGCCAGAGTCAGCTAGCAGGTACAAAATTTCTTCATTACCTTGCTCCTGGGTGCTTGCCAGTCTCCCAGGCTCCCAACCAAGCACAGCCAACAGGCAGGTTCCCTCCAGCAGTCTGATAGGAGCAGGACCTGTTTAGTGCCTGGCCTGGCAGAAGGGCACAGAGAGGGGGCCATGCTAACCCAGGTGTGCTGCCTTGAAGGGAGCGTGGCAGAAGGCAGAACCACTGCTCTGACAGACATTTCTCGTTCCTCCCCAAGGCACCTGCTTGGTGCTCCTGCAGCTTGTGGTGAGCACTGACCTCTTCCTGCTCAGTTTTGGTGCTGTAGTGCTGGGCAGTGCTCCTAACTCTCCTCTAGCCCCCAGATGGCTGGACTCTGCTTTTAGTGCAGGCCATTTTTTTTTTTTTTATTTAGAACAGATTGAAGTGAGGATATAAATAATTAGGAGGACCGTTTTGTCAAGGTTTAACCAAACCCTAGGTAGCTGCTTGTTCGCTCTATTACCAGCAGGACTGGGGAGAGAATCAGAAGGGTAGAAGCTGAAGAACTCATGGATTGATATAAAGACAGTTAATTAGGGAAAGCAAAAGCTGTGCACATAAGCAAAGCAAGGAATTCATCCACTGCTTCCCATGGGCAGACAGGTGCTCAGCATCTCCAGGAGAGCAGGGCCCCATCACGGGTAAGGGTTACTTGGGAAGACAAACACCATCTCTCCAAATGTCCCATGCTTCCTCCTTCTTCCCCCCACTTTATGTACTGGGTGTGATAAAGCAGCAATACTCTGGCCACTTGCCAGCCCATGTGTATCACCATGGGTGTTACTGGGATGTTCCCAGACACACTACTGGGAGGTGATAAGCGGTACTGCAAGCAGTGAGAGCAAGGAGCACTGGGCTCGAATATACAGTCTGGAAAGGAATATACAGTCAGGAAAGCAAGCCTCAGGGCAAGCCACAGGAGCTAAACAACACTTAACAGTTGTAAATTCAGTCTAGTACACCCCAGTCAAGTCTGTTATCTCAAACCCTTTGAATCCCAAGTTGAGTACAAAAAAAAAAAAAAAAGGAAATGCAGCCTGCTGCCTTCTGAATCCATCTTTCAGAGTATTGGTTGCCTTTTTGCCACCTTTTTTTCTGTTTGGGTTTTTTTATAATGCATATGGCTGCAGAGTACTGCAGAAGCATTCAAAGGTAATGCAAATGTATCTGATCTTTTTTCCTTTTTCTTCATTTTCATGGGTGGCAAAAGCTATGGAGAGTGACATTTTTGCATTTGTGAAGTCATCAGAGCTCCTACCCTTTCTGGCTGCAGTTTAAGTGGATATGTGAGCTCAGGGCCCCTATGGGCCACTTACATAAGACTTGGATTCAGTGGTCCTTGTGGGTCCCTTCCAACTCAGAATATTCTGTGAATCTGTGAGCTGACACTCAACTGTAGGTAGAGTACAGGGCTGGCACAAGGAAGGCACGCTTCTCCCAGTCAGGGGCCCAGAAGGGACTGACTGGGTGCTATTGCAGCTGTCTGTCTAAATGATGAGTTAACCATGACTGTGGCAAAGTTCAAAGTTCAAGTTGTCCTTCTTGGCCTGTTAAAGTGGCTTATAAGCCTATGATGTGTCACTTCGGGAATATAAAGATTTGTTTGTTTCTAATGGAAATCTAAAAAAGGAGCAAACTTTGAAAAGACACTTTTACTTGTTATTTTTTCCACAGTTTGTCTTTTCAAGCTTTCAGTTTGTGATTTCAGTCTGTATTGCAGTGCGTAAATGATGTTTAAAAGTCACATATGACTTGAATGAACTTTTATGGCTGTTAGGGCTGCTGTTGTCTCAGATAGCTGTACCATAAACTCTGTGTTGTGGTTTCATCAGGCCCTGTTTTGTTACGTGCATTATTGCACTTCAGCTGTGTTCTGCTTGTGTAAGCAGTGGTGACAAATCCCTCTGTGTATACAGTAATGCCAGAATGAGGGAAGGAATTTCAGTCTTGCACAAGATGCAAGTATCAGGCTTTGAAGGCTGTCTCATTTTTACATCTTTGAAAGGTCCAGTTCATTGAATTAAGTTTTGCTTTAGGCAGTGCATTGCTAGCTGCTAGTCACCATGGACCTCCCCAAGCCTTAGGCAGATCATGGAAGGGTCCTACTGTAACATTTGCTACCTCCTTCAGTGCTCTGGGGTCAACTCCTTATGTTAAGCAGTTTATTTTGTGTAATAGTGCAAGTATAGTAAAATTTAAATTTTGTAAGGCTAGCTACACTGGCTTAAAAGTGCATATTTGAGGTAACGTTTATGTGCTTTCGCCTGTCTGTGTGCTTGACACCTCTTCTGTCAACTTGTCACCTTTTTTTTCCTTGTGGTTGTGAATTTGATGATTATGTTCCTCTTCTTCCAAAAGCTGAAATACCACTCTTATTAAAACAAACCACAGTATTGCTTGCAGAATGACCTGTATTAAATCAAACCTTTGTGGTTGTCAATAGCATATCTCAGCCTCTACGTATCACTTTCAGTAATGTGTTATATTTGTGGTCTTGTTCTCAGGATGTGAAAATTGTTTACTTTCCCTAAATATATATCACAGAGTGAAGTTGTAATTCTTGCTTTGTGAACAAGAGCAGGTCTAAAATGCTGAGTTCCCTCAGCATTTTGTAAAAGCCACATTGAGAATACTAGGGGTGCCAAACCAGACATTCAGAAGCTGAGTTGCAACAGTTAAATTCAGTTGAGTGATCTTAATTTCTCTTCTCTTCCTGAGTGTCATGTGGCAGCCTTCAACATTTACAGGATCCTGTAATATTCCTTCCCCTGCAGCTACTCCCTTGATAGCCCTCTTGAGGTTGCTGCTTGAAACAGACACTTGCTTCACATGGGAAACTGTCAGTGTTGCTTTTTATTTTTGGATTGCTTTACTACATTGCCTCTGATGTTGTTTGCTAAGTATAATTCAAGTGCGTTCCTTCAAATGGAACTACGTTACAGCTTCAGTGTTCAAATTCCTTACAAATGTTTGTAGTTTATTTTGGGCATCACAGCTTACTGAAGAGACTGCTGGAGTGGTAGAAGTATCACTGTTAGAAATTCATAGGGAATCCAGGCTTACCCTAGGAGGCCTGTTATATTTTTGCCTTGATACTCTAGCTCTGGTACCATCTCCCAGCCCGTCCATTCCAATTCAATTTCTGAACAGCAAGAGAAATCTCCAGGAACTGGGCTAATCTCTAACTTGAGTAAAGTCTTAGAACCTGTCTTGCTGTTATATTTGTAAAAGACCAACATAGGGGTATAATCATCACTGCTTATGGACCTGATACAGGCTGTCTGAGGGACTTGCTTTCAGTGGGCATGGGTTATCTGATGTTGCAAAGAGGACAAAAGCTGTCTGTGCAGGAGAGGTGAGTAATAAATTAGCTGCAGGGCTCATAGGTGTTTTTACTGCTGACAGACGAGCTCATTTGGGGGAAGTATTTGTGAGATTTATATCTAGCATGTTGCTTTTTCCAAATAATTTAGAAGTACATTTGGCTATTCTTGTGTTTGCAAAGGTCTGTTTATCAAAGTGCAATTGTTCTCTTCATTCTAGTGCCTTCACCAACGGGGCTTGTAGTAACATCTGAAAATTTCAAAACAGTTTTGCAATGGCAGTACCCATCTATTTCTGAAACTCCTCATTTTATTGTGGAAATCAAGCCTTACAAGTAAGTTCTTACCATTTCATTATTTCCTATACCTGATGTTCTCTAGAAGCACATAAAAGTAGTCAGTCCATGGTAAATTCTCTTGTTTCTATGTGTTGAAGTCATGTAGGGTGAAGGTTGCTCAAGTGTAAATTAGGGCAAAATTTCTCAAGTTATAGAATGGTTGAGATTGGCAGGCATCTCTGGAGGTCATCTGGTCCAAAGCCCTTGCTTGAGCAGGTCATCCATGATTATGTCCAGTTGGCTTTTGAATATCCCTAGGGAGGAGACTCCACAACCTCCCTGGGCAATTTGTGCCCTCACAGGTCCTGGCCACCCTCACAGTTTTTTGTTACAGGCAGTGTATTTTACAGAATTGTTGAAATTGTATTAATTATCACTTGATCTGTTTTACAGTTTAGGTGAATATAAGGAGGTCTCAACCTGTGTGAACACTTCAGCTCATTTTTGTGATGTCTCAGAGGAAATATGTGACCCTTATTCATCTCATTGGCTTAAAGTTAAAGCTGTTGTTGGGTCACAACAGTCTGAATATGTTGAGGCAAATGAGTTTATTTTGCAAAGGCATGGTAAGTTGTATCTAAACTAAACCTTGTAATTTTTTCCAAAAATTTAGAGAGTAATTATTCCTTTTGCTCTGTTACTGCATTGCATTTGGGAATATCTTAAAGTCAGGAGTTCAGGATGGAAGGAAGCATGATGATTGCTTAGTAGGAACTTCATGGTGCTTGCTAGCTCTTACTGAGTGTCTGAGTAGGTTTCAAAATGTCTAAAGGCAAGAAGATGATGCTAATGGTGCACTCTGAATCCTTCCCATGCTCCAGACACCAGTTTAGGGTAGGAAACTGTCACCAGACAGCATGGACCTTTAGGCATCACTGAAGTAGCAATTTATTGCTTGACACTAGAATGCCATGTCCTGGTAGCTTCAGGTGTCTAGGTAATACTAAAAGCTGTAACTGGATAACTAAGTTACTGATTTGTCATGTAAATCCTTCAGGCTGCTTTGGAAAAAAATCAGACTTTAACATCAGTACTGTAAAAGTAAATTTTGTGTCTACAGTCCAGTGTCACAGGCCCTGGCATTGCATGTGCCATGCAAAGGAAATGCAACAGAGTCAGGAAAGACCGAGAGACTTCTTACCATGCTTGCTCTGTTCCCAACATACAGCTTCCAGGGAGAAGCTGGCCCATGAGATTCTATCTGACTTGGGCTATGCTTTAACTAGAGCTGGATTTCTGCATTGCTGGAGCTGAAGGAGTGGAGTCCCTCTTTGCTTTCTGCTATGATTCTGTTCGCACTCAAGAGTCCTATTACTTGAAATAGTGGCTGGTTTCTATAGTTTGACAAAAGGACACAAAAGTGACACAGAAGTCATGGTAGTAATGCTCAGTGTGACAGTTTCCAGAAAATTGGTAGCCGTGTATGGAGAAAAGAGACAAAATCCTTTTCCCATTGAACAAGAAACTTGTGTTCAGTCAGACTATTAGACACAAAAAATTCACATAGGCCATTGCCATGGGAAATCCAAAGTTTGGAAACTTTGGATGCTCATGGTGAGATTTGTTTAGCTTTTCATATAGCCTTTGTTTCAGTGCAGTATTGTTTTTAATTGAGGTGATTTATGGTGGGATCTAGTCAGCAGGATCTTGTGTTTGGTTTTCATTCATGTATATGTTTAATTGCTGTAAGTTTCTTCTGTTGTCGGCTGAATTTTTATGATCTTATGTGTGTAGGAAAGTGAAATAGCTTAACTGTGAAATTCATCATGGACAATCTGTTTCCATTTTAGAAGCTGCTTAGTTAATGTATCCAAATGCTTCCATTACTTCTAAGCAACAGAGAGGTCTTACCACAGCTCTGCAATATTCACAGCATGGAAATAAAGATGTAATTCTTTTCAAATCTCTGATGAATTTTGGAAAGCTAGCAATAAATACTGTATTTTATGTTAAAAGTTTTGGCCTAATAGCAATGGTGCAATGTGTTGCAGGAAAAATAGGACCACCAAAACTGAATATCTCAAGACATGGTGATGAAATCATGGTTGATATTCACCATCCTGTATTCCCTCTTTCTTGTATTGAAGACATTTATTCATCTCTTGCCTACTCGGTGACTGTTCGGAATAGTAAAAATAAGGTAGGTTCCAGAAATAAAATTCAAAACACTTGTTTACCTTAAATGCCTATACAAGGGATTTACACCTATGGCACATGGAACTAATAGGTAGTTGAACACCTAAAATGTTGAGCCCATTACAGTGAGATATATGAGTGAAAGGTCTGTATTTTAGTTGTCCAAATGAGTGCTTACAACAAAAATTAGATTATCGCATTAACTGTACACAAGATTAGTCTTACTGGATCACATGCTGCTGTTTCTGCATACATGCAAATATTAGTAACTTAACTTGTGCCCCTCTCATTTGTCTAAAGAGACATTTCACTTAAGAAAATTGCCTTTCAAGGTATTTATACCAGTTTATTTAGCAATCATGGAGGGTGAAGGCAAGGAAAATTACGACAGGTGTGTTTACTTACACTTAGCTTTTCATATGCATCCAAGTGCAAGTTTTATAAATGTGAATCTTTACTATAAACAGCAGAAATTTTAGCTGGAAAATACTATGCTCTGATCAAATATAACATCTTAAGGTAGCCAGTACTGGTCACACAGCTTTTGCAAGGTATATGAGTGATGTGGGAAACACATCTAATAGTGTTGTAACATTTTTGGAAGTAGTGGAAGGTGCTGTAACATTGTTCTAGTGAGTCAAATGATATAACATGTCTTCCATTTTTTTTTCAGACTGAAGAGCTTGAAGACGACAACTGTACAATGCATAAGTGTAGCCTCAAAATCCCAATCCTTCCTCAAAGTTCCACTTACTGTGTTTCAGCAATAGCAATTTTTGATTCTCTGATGTTTGGCACTCCATCAGAGGAAATTTGCACTCCTGTTGCTCTCAGGCAGACATTGAGTAAGAGGATTCAAATGCTATATTAAGAACATACTGAATCTGAAGACAGATCTGATCTAGCAAGTATTTGATGCTTGGGGTGCCTTTGGGAGAATAGAAAAAATAGGGAAAGCTTAGTGAATCTTTTCCAAATGCACTTTGACAGTTCTGCCCTTTACAAATCATGTATTATTTTCAAGTAACCCTGATTTTTTTGAGGGGTGTTTTTCCTGTGTTGATATTACAAAACCTGCTTCTGTTGCACATGAACACTGGTGTAATGAAAAATTCACAAATGGATCATTCACTGAGCTCTATGGTTTTCAGAGGCATTGTCTGTTCTAGCAGCTGGCTTTTTGCTCAGCCTCATCACTGAGGGTAATGCATATATACTTTTAACTGGAAGCAACTATAAACTTATGGTCATGAAATTAAGATATTACTGTCTTTTTCTTAATTAAAGAGAACAAAAGGCAAATAGTGACCCAAATTTTTATCTCTAAACATCTTACAAGCATTTTGGTTGTACTTCATCATGGCCTGTAATTTCAGCAAAGAGAAAAAATAGAAGCAGTTTTCTTGAACACACGGGAGCAGCTGGATGAGGGAGGGCATTAAGGAGAGTCAGGCTAGTGGAGTCCTACTGTAGTCATTAACAATTCTGTGTTTTGGAAGATAAAATGTTTTACTTTTATTGTACATGAACTCTGTGTAGTTATGTCAGTTAATATGCTATCGCATAGAAGGTGTACAAATCTCATTATCTCCATCTGTCATCTCTAAGGAACAAAAAATTAATTGCAAAATTCCTTTATTTCTATAAAAATGTGATTATGTTTATATAAACTGAAAAGCTTCTGTCATTCTAATTTTTATTTACTCCATAAAAGTCTTATGGATTATGTTTTTCTGAGTGAAAAAAGATAGTAGATTGAAAAATTCACACATTACAGCTAAGCATTCTGAGCTATTAAAATTTCTGAAATTATTCTAAATAATACAGCAGGGGCTTGTTTTTCCAAAATTCTTAGTAGATTTTGCTTTAACTTCTTAGGTTCACATGATATCGTCATTCTGTGTGTTGTTATTGGGATCTTGACAGTAATACCAACAGTATATTGTGGCTGCAAGAAACTAAGGAAAAACAACATACAGCTGCCTAAGTCTTTGGTAAGTTCTGTAACTACTGTACGTTTATGCCAATCTCTTGGGTTTCTTCTGTTGGGTTTTTTTTTGCTTTTTTACCATGGTCTCATAGATAAATTTATTTATTTAAAATTTATGCCAGTCTAATATTCTGATAGCCTTTGTGACCAGATGCCTCTTAGTTTTTTAGGGCTAGACTTCAGTCTGTCTTTAACTGAAGTAGCAGTGGTTGGTCTAGTTTCAGAACTTGGTTCTTAAAAACTCCATGTGTGCATAACTAGGCAGTTTTGTGTTCACTCTAGTAGCAGAGACACAAAGCCACAGAATCACTGACGTGAGAAGATACTTTTTGAGGTCATCTACCCAGAGCCTTTTGCTCAAGCGCAACAGCAAGTTAGCCATGAGCATATCCAGATGGCTTTTGAATACCTGCAAGAAAGGGGACTCCACAGCAACTGTAGGATATCTATTCCAATGTTAAACCACCCTCACAGTTTTTCTTACACTCAGAAAAAATTCTGTGTGCTTCAGTTTGTGCCCATTTCCGTTTGTCCTTCTCATAGGAGCTGTGAGATTCCTTCATTAAACGGTAGTGTTGGCAATTCTCCTAATTGCTACAGTATTCTTAGCAATGTGCAGGGTAAGGGGAGCGAGTAATAGTTCTGTAGGAAGAGGGGAGAAGGACATGGGCAAGTCTGTTCTCATGCTGAGCAGTCACAGGGAAAAGAAGTCAACAGCTGCTCTATTTAAAAAACTTCTCGTAGCCATCCTTAGGAAAGAGAGTGGATGTTCCTTAAAGAGCAGCAGCACTCCTTGGTTTCATGTCAGGCCAGAGTGGAGTATGTAAGAACTACTGTTGTAATGTTCTCCTGGTGTCGTGTTAGTCACAACATGAACTACCACAACTTCAAAGAGCTGCTACCTGAGGCAGTAGTAGACAGAAATCACAGCAAGGATATCTTCTCAATGGATGGAGGAAGTCTCATTTATAGAGAGTAGACAATAATCTTCAATTCCATTGTCTGGTGTTCAGTTTCAAAACCCTTTAAAATGACCTCTCCATAGTGAATGCCCAAGATTCCTCTGGAATTTGTGTTCTTTAGAATAGAATATCAGGAGGCAAGATTGCTCTGACTAAATGGAGATGCCAAGCCAGAGGTGGTTCCTTTGTAGTAAAGCAGTGATCTAGTCCACCAGCTTGTGCAGCACAAGATTATTCATCTTGTTATGAAATTATATGCACTTCTGGTCAGCCAAAATGCTTTCTAAAATTCCTGTTTCCACTGACTGTGATGAAGCCAGGGGACTAGTTTGGAGGTAACCATTCACACTGTAGGCTTTAAAAAATCAGATGAGAGAAACCTCTCTGACATCTCCAGCTAGGCCCCAATATCAAAGCAGACATTGGAGACTTTTTTGCCACGTTTACACCACTTCTCTGTGTACTTCTCTGAATATGTAACTTTTGTGTCCTATGTACATGCAACAGTAATTTCTGTGAAGACCATTCATGAGCAAAAGATGGCTCATGCAGGATTACAGTGCTGTAATCAATGGATCCAGTGCTGTACTCAATGGATCCATACTTATTTTGGGTTTTCAGTAGCACTGTGATACCTGATTTAAAGGATTAGGAAGCAGAATATCACAAATAGAATGTGTGCTCCTTAACACCTGTGAGCCTCCTGATGCATGGTCCAACTTCACACTTGAGCTCACCTTGTAGAAACTTGTGTGTGCCCATATTCTCATTTTACTGGGCTAGATGTTACATTGTGGTTCCTAGGTTCCACTACCACAGTATGGTTCACATGCTACATCATATTTTATTGCTAAGGAGCTGAATAAAGCCTTTAACTGTTTATAAATATTGTTAGCTAGGTGATCAGGCACTGAGACAAGCTCCCCTGGGAAGTGGTCACTGCCCAAATCCTATTCAAGAAGCATTTGGCCCATACTCTGAGATGTGTGGTTAAACTCTTAGGTTGCTCTGGCTGGAGTCAGGAAGTAGCCACCAATTCTTGTTGGTTCCTTCCAAAACAGGGTATTCTGTATTTCTATCCATTTCCAATGAAGACTCTAATGACAAATATAAGTTGCAGAGCTCATAGAAGTAGTTTCAATATAGGTGATGTGAATACTGTGGGAATGTAAAATGAGCAATTAATAACAAGCATAATTATTTTATGGTTAATCATTTGAAGTAATGAGCAAACAGTTTAATTAATATGAATGATAAGTTTAATTATATGACATTATCTTTATAGACTTAGTGGCACTTGGAGCCTGTCACTGAGCTTTGAATATGTACTAGGCATTTCTTTCTGTACAGGTTATCATCACTGTGCCTTCCCTGAGCTTGTCTGAAAATAAAATATCTAGGGAGTTCTTCCATCAGTTAAAAGGCTGGGCAAGATTTCCTATCTTAGGACTGCTAATTTTCTGTGATCTCCTTCCTGGCACCTTTAAGTAGATACTAAAACATAATTTGAATGACTTCCAGCAATTTGGAGTTTTCCAACAGAAGGGAAAATGAGAAAGAGTAACCATCGAGCAGCTACCTTTGCGAGTCTTACATAGTCAGAGAAAAGAAAAAAATTCCATTGCCAGTTGGAGCTCCAGAGCTTTTATACTGTATTTTCTATGCTGTTTGTGACTCCCAGGAATTGCTTATCAGTCATGTCTTGGTCCTACTTCCACAGTGCAGCTGTCATTTGATACAGGCAATGAATGATTGTCTTCATCAGAAAACATGTTTGTGTAGATGTTTAAACATCATCATAAACAGTAGGATCCTACCAGGACTATGCATATGTGAAATGGGACAGATTCCTTTACAAGATGTCATGTTAGTCTTCTGCCTGGATCAAAGGAATCTGACCTTTCAGCAGTTCAGCTGTGGTTAAAACTCCCTTTTATTTATCTCATAAAAAGTATTGCAGGAGGCTGTCTCTTTCCACCCATTGTCTTCAGTCATTGCAATTTGTCCTGTGGCTATTCCTGTACTAGCTTTTTGTTCTAAGATTTATGATAAGGGCATACCCACTTTTAAAGGAACCTGACCATAATTTTCTGATGTGCTGTGGGCATCTCTCTGTGCTTTAACTTCACTGTCTTTTTCTTCAGTGTCTTTTATATTTGAATGGTGGCAGATATTTTTGGGAGTAGAAAACATTTACTCTCAAGAGAAAAGTGAAAGTTAAGTCTTACTTAAGCCTGCTTTTCTGTTTTCTGCTAGTGGTTTTTCTGGTTCTGACAAGGCTTTGCTCTTTGGTTATACAACATATATTTTTGATGTGGAGAAACCAATTGTTCCTGTAAATATTGACTGACACTTGCCACAAATAATTGTCATGTTAGAAGACAGAAGCTGCTTCATTGCTTTTGTGAAAACTTTTTTTTTCCCCTGTGAGCATCTATAGGGGGCAGTAACATAGTCTTCTCCTTATAAAGTTACATAGCATTCATATTTTGTCGAACCATGCAAAGACCACAAAGATTTTTGCCATCATCCTAATAAGATTTGAAATGGAGTTCTCAAACTCTCCTTCATTAAATGTGCACCTGAAAATTACTTGGAACTCATAGGTGGACACATCATTAGAAAAAGAAGTTAAGAAAGAATTAGTAATTACCTTAGCTGTTATGGATTCTTTGGGATGTGTTATTTATCTGTGTCCTTGAGCCTGCCTTTCAGCAGTGTGTCTCACTAGTCTGTTGAGACAGTGAAAGACCTGAAAGCTCAGGTCCTGTTATTGGAGACGGGAAGTTATGTGTGTACCTGCACATGCCAGGAAATGCTGCTGTTACCCATCACTGGCTGTCAGTTTGCTAGGTAATGTGAATAAAAGAAAAATATTAACTCACCTATAGTAAATACTTTACTTCAAATAGCAACCGTATCATAATTACCCTTGTTACTTAAGATCTTTTGAATGTTACTGTAATAAGCATTCAGTTACTGTAATAAACTGATTCTTATCTTTCAAGCTGGAAACAACTGCATGAGTTGCTAAATTGTCTTGTAGTTATGACTCAGTGGCTTTTAAAAACCTTTGATACCGGGAAACACACGGGAGTTTTTTCTTCTGATCGCTTCCTTCTTTCATGAATGGGAATAGGAATGTCTTTGCACTATCTTGCCATGGTCAGAAACTTGTCAAGAGAAAAATGGGTTTCTTTTCTTGAGAAGTCTTGGATGTTCTTGTTCAGAGAATATGCATTTTATCCCCAGTCTCAAAGTATTGCCAGTGCTCACTCTGAAATGCTGGACCTATGTAGAATGCAAGGTGATCCCTTAACATATTTTAGGATTGTGATTTTTTTAGAGCTGTGTGAAAATCCTAAAATGACAGAAACAAGAACTCACTGGCTTTTGTTTTTAACTTCTGTTTAGCCTGTACTGCTGTGGGGAGAGATGGAAAGCTGAAAATGCAGCTTTTGACTATGGTTTCTGTAATACTTTGTTGTAATTCACATTCTCAAGTATTCCACCTTACACAGAGAATTACCTTCTCTTGTCACTTGCTGTGTGATTGTCAGAGACAGATGCTTCCTAACTCCCACCCCAAAAAACTATAGATGCTGGTCCCTTCAAGATCAGTGTTGTATAGCATAAGTACCCAATATTCTGGATATATATCCACTATACTTGCATAAAGAGATTCTCAGAAAGTGTATTAATCCTTTATGGTGTTCTTAACATTTTCAGTATCTACCCGTTACTGATTGTAATCTGTTACTTGCAACTAACTTTTAAGCATCTGCTTCTTATGAGTGAGTGGTTTCCATGAATTCTCATGGATATTACTTTGAATATTCTTTGTGTAGTATTCTGTTTCCATAACAGAAAATGAAGATCCAGAGACACTGATGGTTCAGTGGCAGCTACTTGTAGTGTGTCTGGAGCCACCTGAATGCACTTTTCAGTGGCAACCCTTGATTCCCTGGGAGATTGCCTCACCTTAGTGATGTTCACACAACTGTTTGTAAAGCTAACTTAGATGACCAGTAACTGCTCTTCAGGGAGTGTTTGCTTGACTTGTGGTGGTGTTGTTTGGCTGGTTGGTTTTCCTGAATTGTGATGCTTTTATTGATCCAGCCTTAGCCACAGAGTACCATCAACTGGTATCAGGGCTGCTGAGGGGTAAGATAATCAGACTGAAGTGAGAGGTGAAAGTAGTTTCTATGGAATTCAGCATGCTCTGAAGGTAGGAATGTAAAGCTACAGTCTCACAACCTTTTAATCAGAGAAGACTCTTAAAAAGCAGAGTCAGATTGGATCAGCTGGTTTTGATGGCCCTCTCAGTTCTTACACTAATACAGACTGGGGAGGTTCTTTGTGTCTGTTTGTAATTTTTCTTAATGTTATATTACTTCATCTTTCCTTGTCCTGTACACATCTCTTTCTTCCAAATTTGCCTACATTTGAATTTTCAGGCAAATTATTTTTTACAAAGTATCTGAAAAAACAGTGATTGTGTATTTCATTAAGAAATTCACGGATCTGTAATACTTGATCTTTTTTAATTCACATACATAGTGAATTACAAAATTTGTGAAAGGACACTATTAACTCTTTCTCCCTAGGCATTCTGCTGTCTTTAGGGAACACCATCAAATAGCTGAAAATTTACCCTACTTTGTTTTTCATTTGTATGTACTCTTGAAAAGACATTAAAAAAAAGTCTCAAGAATCTAAGCAGCCTGAAGGCATACTGTAATTGTTTAAAACAAGCTGGGGCCTGGCCATTGAAAGAATTCATAGGATCAACTTGTGGAGGGATTTCAGAGTGAAACATGAAAGTTTGTTGCAGCATTGAGGGACTGCTTAGTGGCTCTGTGAAGTAAGCTGAGAGACTTCAGCATAGAAACAGTTACTGGGTGTGTTGTTCGCTTCCCTCCTGGCTGGGACAGGTGCCAGGCACTGTAAGTTATACTCATTAGCTATAGAGTATGAAAGGTTTCCCCAGCTGAAGAGTATTACATTGTCTTACTGTTTTGCTGTTTTCCTCTATATTGGAAACTTCACAATGTAGTGGGTGACATGAAATGGATTTGATCCTTGCAAATATGCTTGCCCAAAGTAAGCATTTTTGAGATCTTGCATACAAGTGTTACTGGAACAGTTGAACTCATGGACATAGGCCAGTGACTGTGCCAGATTTTAATTTTGCAATTTTGTTTTAGAATTGGCAATAGTGATGTTAAATTTGTTATTATCAACTTACATATTTTTCCAGCTTTTAAACTCAAAGTTGGTTGTTTTTTTTTATTCCCCATTTAGGTCAGTGTGATGAGAAACCTGAACACAGGCCCTCTAATGGGACCAAGATCAGAGGGGAAATATATGTCTGTAATATCAGGCCACTCAGAGTTGCCAGTGAATGGTGAAGTAACCTTGCTGGAGATAGAGCCAGAAGAACAAACTGTTAGTCCTGTGAGTTCCTGTGATGGACAATCTTCTGTCCCTTCCCCAGAGGCACCAGCCAAAGCAGAAGAGGTGACTGTGCAGGAAAGCACAGGGGAGGTCTCTTTTGATGCTGATGAACAGAATTGCGAAGGAAAAGAGAGTTACTTCATTTCTAACAGTAGCCAAATGGATATTTCCAGTAAGTCTTCAGGGTCAGAGATTGCTACCACAGAAACACAGCAAACAGTCGTTCCAAGCAGCTGCTTCAAGTTTTCTGGCTATGACAAGCCTCATGTTCCATTGGATATGCTGATGATAGATGTTGGTGAAGAGCAGCCTGTGAATGCTTACAGGCCAACTGAGTAGCCAGGATGAAGTGCTGGAGTGCTTGACCAAAACTCAGAAAGAACAGCATTACTAAAGCTTATGGAAAGTCTGGGTTAAATTGTGAACATCTATAAGTTGTACTTGTTCTGATCGGTGCACAATTGAAAATAGTACCTGAAAATGGCATAAAATTGTGGGGAAATTTCATAATAACCACTTTTTTAAGCGCTTTTATATATGATATAACTCATTACTTCCTATTTGGAATAGTCCTGTGCTTTTTAACAATACTCTATAGAAAACATACCATCAACTATAAAACAGCAGCTGTACCAGTATTCACTTCTGCTTCAAATCTTGTTCAAAATTAGTTCAATGAACATAATGCTTAAGAAATACGTCACTTGATAATGATAGACATGTGCAAGAAATATTTGGGAGTTTTTACTATTACTGGAGGTATCCTCTTGCTTATCTTCTTCTTTTGAAGAGTATTTTTATATTAAGTGCTCTTATTTCTTTTAAATAAGATTATGTCTATAAGCTCTTCCTGTGTATCTTAAGAATTTGATTCCATGTCAAAGAAGTAAGAAGTAATGGCCATAAACTAAGAACACAAGAAGTTCACCTCAACATGAGGAAGAACTTCTTTGCATTGAGGATGGGTGCCAGAGCACTGGAAGGGGCTGCCCAAGGAGATCATGGAGTCTCCCTCTCTGAGGACATTCAACACCCACCTGAACTCATTCCTGTGTCAGCTGTTCTAGGTGACCCTGCCTTGCCAGAGGGGTGGATTGCATGATTTCCAGAGGTTCTTTCCAACTCTAACAATTCTGTGAATTTGTAGTCTTTGCTGTTAACTTCAGTACAGCAGCACCCATTTGGATCGCCTAGTGGGGTGAATAACCATGTCGCATTCTGGCAGAATATATTAGCAAGCTGACTGATCATCAATGAGAAAAAAAAAGTTTAAAGAGTGGTTGCACAAATTCTTTAGAAAATGTCCTCAAAATTCAAAAGCCTGGTTTCTTCTGGGACACTTCCATCCTAATTTTTAGAACAATATGTTCTCTAAATAGAAATGAATAGAACTTCTTCCAAGCATGTTTTCTAGCAGGATGAAAATCACTGCCATTTCCCCTGTTTCAATAACATAACTCAGGAACTACGTAAAATCACCCTCTAAAAATATGTCTCAATACAATAGAAAAAAAGTGTGATTAAGTTGTACTTCATAAGTTTTATTCTCATCTGACAGCCTTCTGAATTTTGTATCATAGAGCTGTAGTTTTGAAAATTGAGGAATAAGAATTTTATATTTTTTTTTTATATTGAAATCCATGCAATCCATTTATTTCCCTTCAATCAAAGTTTGATAGGTATTTTCTATTTGTAGGAAATATTTATAGCAATTATTAATGAAGTTTAGTTCAGGAAAAAAGAACACTTTATGGGTATAAGTTGGTCCATTTACACAAAATTGTGAGTTTGTTTTAAAATACATTTCTATAGGATGATCGGAATTGTTAGCCTGTTACAGCAGGTGGTTTTAAAGGAAAACCAGTGTCATACCACTCCTGTCCTTAGATTTCTCAGTGACATGAGTATTCTTAAGGTGAAGTTAGTTTATACAGCTGTTTCAGGAGTGCTTCTGTTCTTGTCTATATCAGATATTGACCACAGTGGTACAAAAGATTTAAAGACAATAGCTATTTTTCCCATCACTACTCAAAGGAAGGGTAACAGATGGGTTACCAGGGTTTTGATAATTTTAGGAAAAGCCAAATCAAGCAGGTGAATTTTGTAATTATGATGTCATGGAAAGCCCAATTAGTAATTGTTAGCTGTCTGTGATTTGTTTCTGCATTATATTCAAACATAATGAGACCCCCTAGCAACTTTTTCAATGTCATCTTTTGGGTTGTGTTCCTAGAAGGCAGTGCTTAGTGACTTACTGTTCAGATGCACTAGTGTGTAGGTTCCCCCATGGCAGCGGTGCAGAAAAATAACACTTTTGGTGTTACGAGAAGGCTTTTTGAAAATCAGCATTAATTGCACTTGAAACTTCATTTAAACTGACTTTCCAGGTAGTGATGGTGTTCATCACTGAAGCTCCTAGCAGGCTGTCTACAAAGTAGATGAGCAGCTGTGTCTTGTATGGAGATGGGAGTTGATGTAATTTCTTTCTGAGTTTGGAGGTTTATTGATGAATATGAATTGCAGTAAATACCTCAGGAATTTATAAATGTCAGAGAAGTGCTTAAGTTAAACTTCCCTCTGAAGGGATAAAGAGAACATTAGAAACTGTAAAGTTAGTCTTGTTTTTGGGAAGAAGTTTCTGACCAGACAATTTGCTGAGTATTTTCTTTGCAACTGCTCAGAGTATTTAACTTTGCACTTGGTATCTTGCTTTCCTTCTGTCAGTTTTGTCAAAAAAAAAAGGTCAGGAATTAGCTCTGGCAGTTGTTGGATTTGATGTATCTGCCACAAAACCAAGATTCTGTCAGAAGCATGTTATTTTTTTAAAAATTAGGTTTACATTCTTAGCAGTTCATCAGGAAACCCTGATGCTGTTAGAACTAAGACTTAGCATCTTAGTTTTGTGTGAGCTAAGTGTTTCATTGTTCCGGAAGATTTTCCTTTGCTGACATAATGGAAGAGGAATGCAGATAGACACATTTTAAAACCAAGTGACTATCAGAGGTTCTTGTCTCTTGCCCCTGCAATGCAACTGCATTGTACATTCTTCTGAATCTTTCAAATCACATGGAGTCAAGTGTGAGTAAAAGGACCCAGCCAGGAGCTAGGCTATCATTAAGAACATCAATGTTAAGATCAATAAGAAATGACACAAAAATATAACATAGGGGAAAAATTTGTCATGGCAGATAGTCACATGTATTGGAAAGGTGGTGTTATTTTAGAAGCCGAGAATCAATAACAGCAGTATGAGTGCTTTGTACTATATCACATATATATACAACAGACCTGCTATTGAAATAAAACAAGGTTAAATATACTTTAAAATCAAAATTTCTGAGCTGTAAATATAGAAGCCACTGAACTAGCACCATACTTGTAATCTGTCTTCTGTGTGCTTCATACTTACCTAGTGGCACAGGGATAGTTTAGGTGTTTAAATTGCTCAGGCCAGCTTAGAGCTTTTCTAATTGTGGAATAAAGAAGTTTAAGGGTGTACAAAGCACAGGATTCTTTTACTTGCTTTGACTAGCTCAAAACGTGAGGCCACAGTGAGACAAGATGTGTTTCTGGGTCAGTAAGTTCTGTTACCACCAGTCCTGTTTTTAGCAGTTGCCAGTAGTGGTATTGAAAGCCTAAGAGTAGGGCAAGTCATGGTGCTAATTTCTGGATACAATCCAGCAGCTTGCAATGCGAGGATTTCTTGGGATGGGAATGGAAATGCCTTTTCAGCTACAGCTAGTTAGCCTTGCTTTTGCAAGTTCTGTAATGCCAAATATCTGAGCAATGTCATTTGCAACCTGTCAGGTAGTATTTATCTATACATTTTCACCTAATTGAGTTTGCTTAATTGATTAATATTCTTGTGATTAAGTAGTTTGCTTGAGCTTCTGAACATTCATACATTGCACCTTCCAGAATATGAAAGTGCCTAACATTTATACATTGAAAATAATTTAATATTCATGCCTTTTATAGGGCTATCAGCTATCCAGTATGACACACTTCGAAGGTTTTGCCATTTCAAACTTTTTCAGCTGATTTTTACTCTTGTCCTGGCTGCATAACACTCCTCCCTTTCTCTCACTTCACGGTGATTTGGGTGATGAGGTAAGACTCCCCTATGAAAGAGAACTTCACAAAACTTTGGCCTCATACCTGCCAACATTTCTAAGAACTTCTTCAGTTCTTGTTCTTGAGTGGACATTGTAATTTTTATTACTAGATCTGCAGTTAACAATGCGATATTATGGCAGTACTGTGCATTGGCACAGAAACATCAAATCTGCTTTTGTGTGGTTTTCCACATAAGTCAATAATGTAGTTTAAAAAAAAATTGTCAAATATACTGACATTTGTGCAAACAAGACAGTTGTCTGGAACAGATGCACATACTTTTAATTTTTTTTCATCCTTCATAGAAGGTTGCAGAAAAAGAAACTTGCATGAGAAAACCTGTTTTCCTCAGGGTTAGGAATAGCCAGTTGCTCTGAAGTGGTTCCATGTAAACAGTTGAGTAAATAAGAGATGTTGTACTTGGCTCAGATTAATAGTTTCAGCACATATTAAAAACACCGAAAACCCAAAAAGCAAAAACACACAACCAAAATGACAAACCAAATACAAAGCACCTTTTATCTTAGAAAAAGGTGACCTGTGTAGATTCCTTTAGTGTGTTTTTTTATAGTTCAGTCCCTTAACTATGAAGTTCTTGTTTATTAATACTCTTTCTAGATTCTCTAAATGGATGCCATCATTGGGCTGAAATCTGTAATGAAAGTCCTGTAAATAGTGTACAGTTTAAATGTTTTTATATATAAATAAAAAAAAAAAATCTAAGAAGCAAAATGTGTGTCCTTGCCTCTTTATGACTGTTAGCTTTTGTTCTGAAGCCTAAATGTGCTTTTGAAGCTCTCTCAGTTCATGTTACTTACATGGTGTATGCTTGAGCTTTATTGAGAACCAAAACACTGTTTGGCAGAGATGTGTGTGGCCCATCTGTGTGTGTGGATGTGTGCAGCAGTTCCTGGATCCTACTGACCATCAACATCCTCAGCACTGCAGTTTCTCTTTTGCCCTTTGATGCTGTTGATGCAGCCTGAAGCAGCTTAAGTCCAGCCCTGTTGCTTCAGCCTGGGGCTGCTTCCTTCTGTTCTATTTAAAAATTATGGAAAAGGATTAAATGGTCAAACCATTTGAATGGATTAATTGCTACAGAGAGGAAAGCTGGCCTTCCTTGGAACTTACTACTGTTCATTAGAAGTTTAAAGATCACAGAAGTCTTATTTGTGTGATTTAATTTCTGCTGTTTAGCTGCAGCTTGAAAGAGGAAAAGCATTACAAGCAGAGCAAACAATGAGCAGGCAAACCAAGAGGTTCTGCCTGCCAGCTTGCTATGTGTCCTGCAAAGTTAATCCTGCAGTTGTCAGATCCGTGCAAGGTTCACAGTACAGCAGTAAGAGTATTGACTCTGATACAGCTTCTTTTTCTATGCCAACATCACTTGAAAAAACAAACTGGAAGACTCAACATCCCTTCAAAAATGCCCTTTCAAAAAAGTAAATACAATCCTTTCAGACTGAAAATAGAGAGCGAAAAGAACAAAAATAAATACACTTTGTTTTCTTTCTGGGCACGACTGTGTTGTGTTATGTTTTGTGGCACATCTAAGTTTATAGCAGCTCAGTTAACAGCAGGAGGGGTGGAGGGCATGTGCAGTTCTATTCCAGAAGACAGGAACTGTATGTACTGTTGTGTGCTTTCTGCTACCAGGTTTGGGAGAGTTGAGGCCTGTGCTAACCTGCTGCAAATGTGATCAAGTGTGAGATAAATTATAACAAGGAAGGAAGGGTGCAAAAGCTTGTCTGAATGGCTAGAGGGCAGTGGTAGCAAGGAGGTAGAGAGCATCTATGCCATTTCTCAGTCCTTTCTTCCATGTGGCTTCATCTCAAGTATCAGTCTGGCCTTGTATCAGCTTTTCATACAGTACTAATTCGTACTCACCCCCCAAATCTGACTAGAAATTGGAATAAACTACTGTGAATTTGGATGGCAGATTACAAAGAATTAATTTGTCAATTGCTTCAGGGTGTGCAGCAAAACTAGCAAACAGAGAGATACACCAAACTTCATTTAAGATGAATATGGAACAAAGCTTTTTTGTCTTCAAGAATCACAGAGTGATCTTATTGGTTAAACAGTCATGTTGCAGTAGACTCGAAACTAACACCTCTGAGAAGTGTGAAAACCAGTTAAGTGTGAAGGGTCCTGTCCTGAAAAGCTCAGAACACTGATTCCTGAATGCTTAGGGACTATCCACGCAAGATCTGCAACACTGTATTTATTAAGGAAAACAAAAAGGCTCGTAAAACAGTTTACATACAAATACAGGAGGTATTTGGAGACGGTGGTGGTAAAGATCATTGTAAGAATGGACTTCTTGGTCTAGAGTTTGCATTTCTTGGATGATGGAGAATGATACTGAGAATTCAAAAAACAATCACAGAACTAAGCCACAGGCTAGAAAGTGTGATGCTTGCAAATTTCTCCTTGCAGAAGAGATGAGTGAAAGGCAGATTCTCTTTTTTCTTCCTTGTATTTCTTTTTTCCCTTGGCCAGGGAAACTCCTGGAACTTGCATCTTTCCAGGTTTTATTGTCCAAAGTAGCTACCAGACGTGTTTGCTCCTTCTGCAGCCCAATTTTCGATGATGAATGTGAAGGCAGACATCCCAGTTCTGCGTGTCTTTTCCCAAGTGCAGGCCTGCCAACCCCTTGCCCTTCTTGTGCCATGTGCTGAGTCAGCCCAGTGTGGTCTGGACTTGGTGATTAGATGCAGAGGCTTCAAACCACTCCCTGCCAAAAAAAAAAAAAAAAAAAAAAAAAAAATTAAATAAAAATAAAAAAATCAGTGTGTGGGTCATATTCTACCAATATAGTAGTTGCCTCTGGTGGCAGTGTGTCAGAGAGCATTAGCACTACCAGAACTGAGCCTTTCTTTACTTTAGTAGGTGGACCAAGAAAGCATGAGCAATGTTTGTGCTGTACCTCTCCAGTTTTATCTGTGGGTTCTGTTGGCAGAGAGAGCACTTTGCACCTTTACTGTGCTATGAAGATTACCTAAGAAAAACCAACAAATTCTGGAATATTAATTTCACATGTCTCCAAGTTGGTAGATTTTGTCTGCAGATGATTTGGTGAGGGATCCACAATCAAAATGTATGTCTTAATGGGCTTAAACAAGCTACAGCACTCCTTAGTGGTGGAAAAAATATAATTCTATGGCTTTTCAAGTGAGAAAACCAGACAATTTTAAGGGAACTTGTCATTTAAATGAAAGACTTGGAGCTATCTTGGGGTTTGTATTAATTTCAGTTCCTAGTGAATGTTAGTGTTGGTTACTAACTTCCTGGTCAGTTCAGTGTGTTGCACATGGTTAAATAAATACTGCATGTGCAAATGATGACTCACTACTTTTGAGCCTTCAGGAGATCTTCATCTTTATTATGGTCAAAAGTCTCCCTATGTAGATGCAGCTACAGCATTGGAATTTCTAACTGCAATCTTTAAAATGTTGGCCCAAGCTGTTTAACGGTGAGGATGAGGTTTGTGTGCAGGAAGCAGGGAAGGCACACAGTGTGCAGTGAAAGTCTGTGTTGCTTCCTCAGAAACTTCTCTGTAAGAACTTGTGTGATGCAATGTCTCTTCCCTACAGAGGGAAGAAAGATCCAAAAAGTCCCTCCTGCCTGACTGTGGGGGTTTTCTTTGCTTTCATTTTAATTTTTGTATGCAGTGTAGTGATTCACTTTCCAGTCCCCACTGAGCTGGCAAAGGGCTGTCCTGTTGCATGTGACACACCAGAAGAAGCTGAGGGAGCTGGATCCCTTCAGCCAGGAGGGGTGGCACATGGCAGAAATCTGATTGCCAACTACAGCAAACTGTAGCATCTGCAGAAATGGCAGACTTTTATCTGAAGTAAAAGCACAGTAAAAGCACAAAAAGCATCTGTCATAAATTGCAGCAGAGAAATCCCACTAGGATTTGCAGGAGGAAATTCATGCTAAAGCTAGTTAACTGTGGGAAAAAATTGTCACTATCCCTGTGCTGAGGCTGGACAGGATGACCTCCAGAGTCCACTCCCAAGACAGGTTTTCCTCTGAGTCCACACTGGCTGTTTAGAAAAGACCGAAAACTGTGGCTCCAATTGCGAATAGTCTTTAGAGTAACATGAACCACTCACATTTTTTTATTTTTGTGTGAAATGCCACACATGAGAGAGAATTGCCTTGCCTTTGGCAGTTACTAGAAGTATTCCCTGTATGCTTTCTTCGTCCTCCCACGTCCTCATCTAGGCATGTAAGCAAAACCCACGCTCACATCCACTGCAAATGTCAGACTCGCATCTGAAAAACCAAAGGTTGTGCTGCAGTAGCAGTTTGAAGGTTACATTTCCCCCTCTTATGTATGGGAAACAACTCTTTCAAGGGCACAAGAATAAAAAGGAGTAACAAGGAGCTGGTCCTTTCAAATGAAATGAGTCAAGCAGCTTTCAGCAAAAATACTTGACTTTTACCTCTGTGTAGCAATAATGCATCCTCAAGAGAAAGCAAGCTGTTTACACAGCATTCAGATAGGTTTCTATTCCAGCAATGGAAAAAATTCTCATACCCATGGTTTTTTATGTTGGGTCACAAAAATATCAGTTCTGCTGTTTCACAGTGGTTTGGATCAGAAAGATGCTGCAGTGTAAGCTAGGATGAGCTAGCAGCATAACTACTTATGTGGATTCTCCTGGGCTAAGTAATACAATTCAACTTTCCATTTCTTCATAAATTATTGTTCAGAGTACCCTTAATATTGTTCATAGAAGTTCTTGTATTTTAAACAGCATTGCAGCGTGCATCATCCTGTGTTCCTTGATAGTGTACATTTTGAAATGTGCTATATACACTGTAAATACACTGTATATACACTGTACATACACTATATAGTTATTCTGTGAGATTCCAGACATACATGTACATGTCTGCACGTGTGTGTGCGTGCAGCTGCTCCTTGTGACTGTGCTGATTTGTATCCCACAAAGCACTGAAGCGGCAGCTGAGGCCGATGAATAGCACAGGTGCTAATAGCCGGTTGTTGAAACCGCGGCTGTTTCAATGACAGCAGAAAGTGTGTGAGGAGTCAGCGATTACTGCAGAACACCAGCTCAGCTGCAGATAAAGCACTATCGGAGTGCAGTGCGCAGGAAACCCTGGGTGTTTTCCAGCACCCATGTGACAGGCATTTCTCTCAGCACATCGCACAGCAGCCTTTTCCGAGCAAAACCCGCTGGTGCTGGCAGGCTGGCCCTCAGCTCTGCTTTCCTAGGAGGAACCACCATCAAAGGGAACTTTGACAAAGGTCCACACTTCAGCTCCTGGCAATGGGCTGCTTCTCGGGATATGAGAAGGTGTGTACAATTCAAGTAAATAAATACGTGACCTGTGACTAAACGCTGATGACTTTTCAGTCTAGTGATTGGTTTGTAAAAGTTCCCTATTCCCGTACTTGAGCTCATATAACATGATGAAATACTAATTGAATTTGGCGTGGGGAACTCTTTAAAGTAAATAAACTATTAATTTTTAAAAAAAATCTGCAGCCTGAGATAGAATTTTTTACTTCTGCCTGCATTTTGGTGGTTTTTTTTTTCATTTTTTCTCAGTTCTTTAATTCCCTTAATTGGTTTGACTAATTCATTATTCAAAGCTACACAATTAGCATTTTACTATATATGGGGCAGGTTTGGTGCTAGTATAATGAGATATAGCTGAACTGAGACCCTGTGCCCATCTATCTGACCAAAATCAGCCTCTTGACTAGATGTTGTTCAGTTTGTTCAATATAACTGATGGCCTTTAAATAAGTTTATTTGAACCAGAACCTGCGCTTTTTTTGACCTGACAAGTCTTCTGTTTCCACGTTTTCCCAAAGTAAAGATGATTTCATGACAATTATTTGTTAGTAGACAGGTAGTCTTCACATCCATTACTCCTTTTGTGAAAGCTGTCACAGAGGGCAGTGCTAAGTCTTACAAAATTAGCATTTTTCTCCTCCTGCTTATCATCATGAGTTTGCAGAAAGAGAAAGCATCCTGACTTTTGCTTAGTCGCACTAATGCATGAGCAGTGAAGTACCAGTGGGTGTCAGCATCGGGGAGCTTTCAGGGAGGGAAGAGAGAGGGGCAAGCCTAGGCAGTAGCACGGCGTTCACCACCAGCAACAGAATTGTCTGAGCTTTCCACACATCCCAGGAGCACAAAACTCCTCTCCCACCTGGCAGACGTGCATGTGGCATTAAAGCATTTGCAAGAACACAGTGAGATTTTTTCACCGGAGAGCCCCAGCATCCCCAGCCCTGGGGTCAAGCTCGTAGGGATGGACATACTGGGTGGGCAGGATGCAGAGGAGAACACTGACAAACGCCAATATTTGTGCAGGCAGTGTGCAGCACACCTGCACCAGTTGGGGCATACGATTCCGAGCAGTCTGAAAGTCCAACCCAGAGTGGCACTTTGCCCTATGGGCTGGGCTTATCTTCCTAATCCCAGTCTGGAGGCTGTCTGTCAGTCCTGCAATTTCCCCAGCATCCCAGCATCTCCCCCGCAGCCAGCATGGGGTGAATGTGCTGCCCAGCAGCCAGAAGTGATTTCACAGCCCCTCATTCCTCCAGTGACAGCCCCCTAGACGATGTCCTGCCACCAGCACACCTGCAAACTCCAGCTCTTGCTTTTGGCCCTGAGGCAGTCCATCAAACCCAAAGCACATCCCATGGGTAGGTATTTTATATCTTTGGAGTAAAATTTCTTCTGTTCTTCAGCTCTGAGCAACTAGTGAGCTGAAAATAAATAAATAAATAAATAAATAAATATCTAAAATATTAAAAATCTTAGCATGGCAAGCAAGAAAGCTTCTGTGACAAATTTATGGGATAAAGCAATTTTGGCAGACATCATCTGGGAATTAGTGTCTTTAAAAAATGACCTTTTTCATAATGGCTTGGTTCATAATTAGTTCCAAACTCTTCATGACCACAGCTGCCAAGAAAGTACAATTGCTCATGTTTAATTTAGAGCTACTCATATGTTTTGCAGCTAAATTAAACCAAAGCCAAACCGGGGAATTTGGAAACCACTGAAAAAAAGGGGAACTCTGGAATGCTTAACAATTACTTCCTCATAGGACATGCCCAAGAGGAAGAGAGGTGCTTTTCAGTCATGGAGCTGCTCTCCTAAGCATGAGGAGGATCATGCTTTCCTTCCTCTGCTTACTGATGCACCTGCTTCAGGATGAGACAACTTGTAAGTAAGGGCTTTTTGCTCTTTTCCTGTATGGGAAGGGAAGGGGGAGTGGGAGGACAGGGCTTGTTACTGAATTTTTTTGATGAGTCAAGAAATCTCTGTATCTTTTGGTGGGTTTCAAAAGCTAGTCACTTTCAAATTAGTTTGTTATTTTATCATTCCAGGTTCTGAAATGCAGATAAAATGAACATGTTACCCATTAGATTTTTTCATGGCTGTATTACCAGATTTAGTTCAGCCAGTACAAGTCTTATCTGATTCTGTGCTATGCCAGGTTAAAAGCTGCTGTCATCTGGGTTGCAAAACCCACAAAAATATTAGGCTTTGAATGATTCAGAGAGGTTGTTAACTGAATCTGTTATAAGTAATATAGCAGTTTGAAAAGAGATGATCTTGAAAACTGTCAGACAGCTTTTCCAGTGCTACAGACAAGAAAAGTGAATTTCAGGTGGTTGTTTATTAGGCAGGAGCTTGTAAACACGACTGTGGTAACAGTTAAAAGAGCTATAATCTCTTCAGGTTAAAGCTGAGTTGTGGAGTAAAGCAGGAAAGAGCACTTGACTTTTAAGTATTGATGGGGATGCTCACTGCAGACTCTTAAGAGATCTGAAGGGTTTGTTTCCTGGAATGATCATGGGGCATCTTTCACAGCAGCAAACTTACTAAGGAAAAATATACCAATAAACCAACATAAAAGAAAAAAAAAAGAAAAAGGAAAACAAAATAACAATGAATGAACAAACAAACCCAAAACAAACAGCAAAAACTCCCAACTCAAACACTCAGACCACATAAAAGTATTCCTTTCATAGTTCTAAATGTGTTTCTTTTGTAACTGCTTGTCTTCATGACTTGGAAAGTTTTGAATATGAGATCCAGGAGATTTAATTTCCCTGTGGTCTGCTAGTCATGAAGCAAGATGGTCTGTAGCAATACCCTCAGATTCCAGTATGGAGGAGTGTGTCTGTGACAAATACTTTATGTTATCACTCCTTCTTATTTGCAGCGCTTTTAGTTTTGGGAAACCAAGACCTGCAAGATTCGATTAAGCCGCAGAAGGTAGAGTTCCATTCGTTAAATTTCAACACCACTTTGCATTGGCAGCCTGGGTGGGCCAGAGAGGCCAGAGATGCGCTCTACTTTGTGCAGTATAAAGTGTAAGTACCAGTGCCTCCCACTGGGCTGGGGCTCAGCCCTGCTGGGGATAAAATGATTCCTCAGGTGGCAGGAGGTTCTCATTCCTGGGCAACAGCCATGTCCTGCTTGGCTGCCAGCTCTCACTTGTTTCTGCACTTACCAATCCCATAAGGTGCAGTCAAGCAGCACAAGGCAGGCAAGGAGTAAGCACCTCCAGCACTATGCTCTGCACCCTCATTGCACCAAGGATTTGAAGGAAAATGTAGTTTGCAGGGGACCTCTGAAAGTCACTGGGTCCAGCCACCTGCCTCAAGCAGGTCTGGGTAGGTGAAGTTATTCTGTAATAGAAGATTAAATGTATCTCAGTGGCCTACCTTGCCCATAGCACTGTCTCAGGGTGCCTTGCATGGAAAGATTGAGGCAACATTAGGGGCTGGTCTCGAGGGTCTGCTCCCATCCCTGGCACACTGGTGAGTGCCTGAAATGATTATTGCCCTTGAGGAACAGTTTAGTGAAATCCAGCATTCTGCCCATCAGTGAGCACACTGGCTGAGCCACAGCTTGCCCACCTCTCCCATGGGGCAGCTAAGAGGTGGCTTCTGACAGGGCTGGTGACCCTGTCTCTGCTTTAGATTTCTTTCAGAAAAGACAGAAACCTGTAGCTCCCAAACACCTATGAAATCAACCTTCCCTGTTATCGAATTGAAGGCAGTTAATTTCCATGGCAGGATGCTTGTCTGTGCCACGAGAGTAAAACAGATGGCTGAGAATCTGCCTGGACACAGGCAGTGATCCCTAAAGTTTACATCTTCCTCCTCTTTCTCCATAGGTATGGGCAGAGCACATGGCAAAACAAAGACGAGTGCTGGGGGATTTCAGGCCATGTCTGTGACCTAACACATGAGACCTCTGACATCCAGGAGCCTTACTACAGCAGAGTGAGAGCAGCCCTGGCTGGTGTCTATTCCAGCTGGAGCCTCAGCTGCAGATTCACTCCTTGGCGAGAAAGTAAGTGCAAACACATGTGTCCCCTGGAAGGAATTAGGTCTTCCATGGCATGGAACACATCATTTCTCCTCACAACTTGCAAACATGAGTTATCCTTTTCTAGCCACAAAGCTATATGTAAAGAAGTGAGTCAATAGCTCTCAGGTGAAGCTTTATGCCAGAGTAATTCTCGACACACTTGAAAGCCAAGTGATTATGGCTAAATAGCCATTTACCAGTAACTAGAAGATCAAAAAATCCCTTTAATTTGAGCTCTTCCTCTGGGCATGGAAGTACACAAAAAATTTTCAGGCATTTTTGGAGCTGCAGGAATGACAGGACTCAAGACAATAAAAAAGGAAGCATTTTTCTTTGTGGGGAGAAGAGAGAACAGAGCTGCGTGGTGTGTGGCCACTATTCTTCTCGCATTTATGTGTTATCCCAACTGCAGGAAAAGACACAGAAAGGACATGTGCAAAGCTTTTGGTTAGCACTGTCATTACAGTGCCACAGTATGTTAGAAATGGAGGACTGCCCACAATGAACAATAGCAGTCTACCTACCAGTAAGTTCACCATGAATTAACCTGTTTTCCCTCACTGGCTAATGCAAAATCAAATTGCCAGTGTGGGTCACTCCACAGCCCCAAAGTGCAAATTACCTTGAGCACAGATGAAACCACAAGCTTTGACATAAAGAAGTATCTTGCAGCAAAACCAGAACATCTTGCCCTGTGCCACCTCCTCCTCCTGGAGAGATTCGTGTGGCAGCTGCTGCCCGTGTCCCCACACTGCTGGTTCTGCACACACATGTATGCAGGCACTGGCTTCAAGCCTTAGCTCTGTTTAACCAAGCCAATTGCAAAATATTTGAAAGTGATGACATAAACTGCATCCTTGGCACAGCTGAAATGGTTTAAATGGATGTTTTGTGCAGAAAGCACAAAGACAAATATGAGGAAAAAGAAAATCAGGGCAATTTTGAAATTTTTCTTGACCAGTCAGCACATAGCAACATCAGCTCTAAGGGATTTCAAAAAGTTTGGCTCAAAGATAGATTTGCAAACACAGGAAATGTCACCTCCAAAACAACAATAACCAAACCCAATAAACACCAAGAAGTAAGAATTTACAAAGTGTCACTTGAGGAGTAAATACAGCATAATATATTGTTGGTAACATGAGCATTTATTGAACGGATTCAAATTGCATTCTTGGAAATATTATTCATAACCTATAATTGTGTTTATATCTTTGGGTTTTTTTCCATAGCTATGATAGGACCTCCAATGGTCACTGTGGCTCATAGCAATAAATCCATAACAGTAAAGCTCCAGGCTCCACGTTCTCCTTATAGAAGGAAGAGAGGCAGCAAAATACCAATGACAAACTATTATGATCTGCTGTATCAAGTCTTCATAATTAACAACTTGTTAGATGAGGTAAGAGTATATTCAGATATGAACCCTTTACCATTGAATATCCAGAAAAGTGTGGGCACACCATATTTGTTTTGCTGTTGAAACAGTCTTCTGGAATTGTGAGAGCAGCAATGACTGTGCAAGTGTTTGAAAACAAAGTAGGCTTATTTTTCAGGAATTGAATTTGATTGAATTGATTTGTAATTCCTTCCTGTATTATTTTCCATCAACTTAATACTTCATAATCCATGACCTAGTTAAAAAAATTGGTACTGGAGAGGAATCTGGGGGGGGGGGGCAGGGAAGGGAATTTTCTTTAAAAAGCATAAATAAGTTATTAATGCGGTTGGATCTGTGTAAGTTCATGTGCTGTTCTGCATCCTCTGCTCTCATTGAACTGTACTGTCAGACACACTTGCTAGGGAAATGTGCTTGACTGGCTCTTCTTTCTCCACTCTGTACGAAGCAACACAGGGTCCTGGTGTATGAAGGGAAAGACAAGGTTATTAAAATAGAAGATTTGAGGCGTGGAGTCAGCTACTGCATCGTGGCTAAAATGTACATGCCAATGCTGGACCACAGCAGTGCCTACAGCAGCAGGCAATGTACCGTGCTGCAGTGACAGGGCTGGCACCTCTGAGACAGGTAAGTCACTGTCTGAAACTGGAGATGACTCTGGAAGTCAAGATCTTTCCCCTCACCAAAGACAGATACTCTCCAAAAGTAAAGAAAGAAGTGTGTCATAGAAACTGCCATCCCACATGACAATATTAGCTGGAATACTTACATAATCTCAGATGCACACCAGGTAAGAATGATAAGGCCAAGATGATTTAGGAATGGGATAGATAATTATTTGCATGCTGGCACTGGCCTCAGAAATATCTGCTTCTTCCCTTTCTTTAAACAGTTGTACATAGTATAGTTAAATAGTTATACGTAGCATGGCTTTCATAAATGCATTTCTGTCAAGTAATAATTAACTAGAAAAATGAGTGGCCTCCAACTTTATTAACATGCAATTCTCCTGCAAGCTCTGCCAGCCTTTTCTGCTTAGGAATTGATCTGATGGAATAACTAAAATGAGCCTGTCCCCTTTTCATGGACACTCTTCAGTGGAGTGCTTTTAAAAAGAAATCAGTTATCAAATGTCATGAGTTCCCATGGGCCAAAATGCAAGAATTATCTCCACTAGCTGATATGAAAAATCTGGTTTTTTTACTTACATCAATCACTAGGCTATTTTCACGTGTCATATGCCTAGCCAAAAGATTTGCTATCAATCCTGCCTTGCAGGTACAAAGGAACAGAGAGTACAAAGACCTAACCCAAACTTGACTTCATTGGAATTTGCCTTAGCAAGCTCAGATTTGGGGTAACAGAGGAAAACCAGAAAAGTGTCAGTTTTAACCTGGGCTTCTGTTCTCAGTTCTGTACCCTAAAACCATAGAAGTTCTCCTTTCTTCTGCTTCATAATATGATACATATCATTGGTGCCTCTTGAGTTTTGGTCAGTGGGTTTAGGCTAAGGAGGGAGTCACTTTCTAGGGGACTTTCCTGCATTTTTTCCTTGCCTGCCCTGTACTGTAAAGAGCTGGTTAGAGCTGGACTTCCAAAATAACTTGCAGAGGGACAGGACAGATGCAGGTGAATGGCATGTGTTGAATGTCAGTTCAGTTTAATACCACCGAGCTTAAATGCACATGCCAGCAGCAATTCTCTTTCTCTTCCCCATTACAGGGATAATGGCAGAAGATGCCTTCCATCACAGGTCCAGCTGTAAATCAACATCTGCTGTCTATGTCTGGAATACATACTTGGATACTTTTTAAACTAAACTTTGCTGCATTAAATTATTTGATAATTTGATCACAATCCTTTTATGCTACATGAAGGAGTCTTTGTATGTCCCATATTACGATTCATGATGGTATATATTTGCATTTTCCAAGGTAACAGACTTGTAATATAAAAATGAAACCATTAAAAAAGTCTTTGTGGAAATATCCTTAAGATTGCTTCTAGGGGTTTTGTATTTTACATCTTGAAATTAAAATACTATCTATAAAATAGAAGTTTCAGATATTTTATGTTTTCTACATGATTACAACTGAAAATTAAAAAGGTGTCCTTCCTTTAAAATAAGAAATGTCCAATACAGGAGTAATTCCATCCTCAGAGTGTCTTCGTAGGACCCTCAACATAATATTTCTGACAGTGAAACTAGTATGTGATTAGCCAGGAATTAATGTGAACTAAAACAGGAAAGATCCTCTCTTCCATTCAGTGAAAGACAGTTAAAGGAAAGAGACCCTCAGCAAGTTTGAAACAGAACTGTGGGGAGTGGCTGATAAACCAGAATGCTGTGGGAATGAGGATGGTGCCAGACTGTTGTCAGTGATGCCCAGTGACAGGATGAGGAGCAAAGGCCATAGGCTAAAACACAAGAACTTTCACCTCAGCAGGAGGGAAAGCTTCCTTACATTGAGGGTGGCAGAGCACTGGAACAGGCTGCCCAAGGAGGTCATGTAGTTTTCCTCTCTGGAGACATTCTAACCCACTTGGACATGTTCCTGTGTCACCTCTCGGTAGCCCTGCCTGGACAGGGGGGATGGACTTAATGATTTCCAGAGGTCCCTTTCAGATCTAAGAATTCTGTGATTCTGTGACCTCTATTTAAGCCATTTCATAGTAAATGGTGACTGTATGCTGACCATTACCTGGAATTTCTGATGATTTTAGCCCTTAATCATACAAGGGAAAAAATTGTTTGGGAAAGGTCTGGGTAGCGACTCACTAAGCCACGCCAGGAGGGAGAGGTGAAATAGCTTTTGCAGATCTGCAAGGTTTGTAAGTAATGAGAATCTTGGTACTTAACTATGTTCTGTAATTGCAGACTAAATTAGAGGAGGTGAGAGTGGCCCAGACACAAAAGGGCAAAGAAGGCCCTGGGAAGAATGGAGGTCCCAGCTACATAATCACTATCCACTTTTCCCTTAATTCAAGTACACAAAGGTGGATCAATTCAGTTTAAGTAACAGACATTGAGTTCTCTGAAACCAAATTCAAAGCATTTCTCATGGTCTATCACTAGCACCTCCCCTGGAGGCATCAGAGCTGAGAGCTGCTTCAGGATGATGGCAGTAGGCATTTGGGAAGAGGCTGTGTTTAAGGAAGTTAATGCTGGTCACTCTTGCCTTTAACAGAATGAAAGAGGTTGTTACATAATAAATATTTCCACACCTGATTATAATACATGGTATCTCTGAACAACTAGGTTTGCAGACATCCAGCCATATCCCCACATCTAGTCCATTAAACCACAGGTTTCTTTCACCACATTTCCCTTTTTGCTCCTCTCTCAATTCTTCCAGTTGCTTTGCCCACTCATATCCCACAGTTTCTTTACTTAGGTAAGACTTTTTTGAGAAGTAAGCCTTTAAATCTCTGTGCAACACCTGGTGCCAAGACAAGTGTGAGATCCTGCTGCCTTGAACTGGCCAGAAAAACTGTCCAGGCAAACAATTAAGAAATAGTCTATCTGGTATTTCAGCAGTGGGTTATCACAGCCTGAAAACAGTATCTGTAGTAATTGAAGTTCTTTCTGAAATTAATTTATTTCCTTAGGGCAGCTCAGGTCACCATCATTAAACAAAGATAAAGCTTTATCAGAGAACAGATTCTGACAATTCCAGATACTGTACCTATGTCAGACGCCGAGGATAAAGCTTTTATAGAGAAGTTGTTTGTTTTATAGAGAACATTAAAAAAAAAAAGAGAGAGAGAGAGATAAAAAAGAAGAGGCAGAGCTATAGGCGTACCTGAAGCATTCAGACCTAGCTAGAAATAGAGCAGCTGCCATGTTAAGGGTCTGTGAAGACATTTGAAACCTGAAATTTTCTCAATTTGATAAAATTATGAAAAATGTGAAGCATGAATGCTGGGAAAAGCAATAAAGGATCTGAAGAAGTCTTGCACACAGTTGTGTGCTAAGCTGTGGGCTAACCAGATTTCACTTCCTCAGCAACAACACAGGCTTACAGAAAGCAGTGCAAGAGTTGCAGGAACCCACTCCCATTCTGACAGAACCATGATTTATTACTGCCAACCCCATGATGTTCTGCAAAAGCATATTTTCCCTTTCCATTTGAAATGCAAATTTTCTTTCAGCGCTGTTCTGATATGTAATTTTACTGGAGAAGGGTTTGATAGAATGACTGGTGCTGTATTTTTTTCTCCCCTAAGGCTGAGTGATCTGCACTCACAGCTTCTAGATAGATTTGGTAATGCTGTAACTTCAAAAACCAACTTATTGTGCCTTAGACTGCATGCTGCACTGCTGGTTACAACTGCACAAGGGTGGAATGAAGAAAGAGTTCTCTTAATTGTAACTGGGACTTCCCTGCTGACAGATCAGTTTGGAAATACCTGGAAGGATGAGTTCTAGCCCTCCTTTCTCTTTCTCCTCCTGGCACAAGCAAACCATCTGCTGTGAGTCCACACCTCTGGAACTGCCCAGGCTGGCACACAGCTGCACAGGGGGTTGTGCATGTGCACACCATTCAGTTCAGGATGCTTTCACATTGTTGGTTTGGCTCCTCCTTGCAAAAAGTTTTCAAGACCCAGCTGAGAACACTTATCTCTTGTTTTTTTTAGTCACTTACACAATAGGTATTTTCTAACCAAGTGCCAAGTGCCAGCTTCTGTTTCAGGAAAGAGAGAAATGCTGACTTCTAGGGCCATGGCACTGGGAGGGAAAGATCAAGCAGTAACAAAAGCAGGACTTGAGTCCAATTCTGTGAACTCTCACTGGCCACATTGCTGAGGGATGTCTGCAGTGACAGCCACAGCCTGTCACAATGCCCTCATCTGAGGGTCCTGCCAATGAGAAATAGATATTATTCTTTTGGAGTTTGCAGTTGAGGATTTTGTTGCAAAGTGGAACCCATCCCACAAGGGCCTACCCTTCTGTCTTTCATGACTTTGTTTGAACATATCTGATCTGCCAGAGAGAATAAGAGCTGATCTCCTGCTATAAATGGATTTAACTTCCCATTCCACTGGCACTCAAAAGAACAATATTCAGCCACCAGCAATTCAAGAACAGGCCTCCAGAAAAGCTGACAGAGCAACAGTAATGAACCAGATGCTCCAGCCTTATAAATTAGGAGAAGATTATGCACAGCCAGCTGTACCATATAAATGGCCAGTTTTATAGGATGCCATGGTCCTTGGTGTTTATCATATGGTGCAGCATCTGGCCAGTCCCATTCACACCTCCCATGTATCTGCTTTAATCAGATATGGACCTGGGGCTTACACACTTGCATGGCTTGATCTCAGCTGAGAACCACTTTGTGGCCCAGGGTGGGGTTCTGTTGTGAAATGACATTTGGCTTTTGCCACAGATCTGTTAGACATTAGCAAGTACTCCAGACTGCAGGAAATTAATCATAAATAGGTGGGGATTTCTCTGGATCCAATGTTTGCTACAAGGATCAAAGATACTAATCTGTAAAACCTGTCTTAAAAAAAAATAAAGAAAGAAATCTCAAACTCCTGAATAAAAGTTTGTGACAAAGGACACAGGACACAAAACAAGGGTACTTTCTGGAGAGAAGGGAAGGGAAACAAATGACACTGGTGTTCATGATCAGGAAAGTTACAGTCTCCTTTGCTCCTTTGCAACTTGTTTTCAGAATCTTTTGTAAAAGGTTTCCAAAGGGGAAAAAAAAAAACTTTTAAATGTAATTCCCCAAATTATGAAGTCACTGGTTGTTTTATTCTGTTATGTGTTTATTCCACTGAAAACCCAGTTAAAGGAATCATTGCTACCAGAATTTTGGCTTGGGAGGGGGAAAAATAGGAAGCTTGATCCCTGATGCTTACAAGGAAAGAAATACCTGAAAAAGTTCCATGATCTGAGGTAAATACTGAAAACAGTTTTAAATTTTTAAACATTTTGCTCTTTTCTAAGGCATTGGGGCCCTGATGCTGAGTTGCCTAAATATCCTTAATAATGAAAAAATGCAGCCCAGGAGTATCACACTGAGGACCAGACTCTTCAGAAATGTCCTTACTTTTAAACACAGGAACGGGATGACAACGAAGAGCTATTGTGCTAATTGTTAAACCCACAAAAGAGCAACAGGAATATTGTTATTATTTTAACTTATTTATTTCAGGCAATGTCTTTCTAATGCTTTTTTTTCTCTTTTTTGGGTGCAAGAAATCACAAATCATACAATTTTCCAAGAAAGCTCCTGGTTTTCATTTTCTACAGCAGAGGAGTATTTTTTAACATTGCTTGTTAGGTGACAGTGGGTTTGTTGAACAGCTGACAAGAACATGATTGTTATAGGACTAAGGTCTTATTTCTAGGCTAACTTCTTAATATAAATTCTTATATTTGGAAGAATAAAGCTCCTAAAAGATATCAGCAAAAAGAAAAACAATAGTGTTGTCTGTGTTAAATCAAACCTAAACACTTCCAGAGGGTCTGTAAAATCATGTCCTGGGTGGAATGAGACTCTGAAGAAGAAAATGCTGGAAAAGACAGAAAAGGAAAGAAGACAAAGTGCACCTAGACAGGGGCTGTGAAGCAGCATTAGAGCAGAAATGTGTATTTCAACAAGCATACAAAATAGGAGCAAAGTAAGTTGATGAATTACACAGACATTAAGCAGTTTCTGCCTTTGCAAAGGAGACCTAAACTTCTATGGAGCAAAGCTCTTTCATGTGTCCACAGTCAAGGAGAAAATAAACCTATAAGGACACAACATAGATGTTTTCTGATCAGAGAGACCATTTCAGCTATTTCAGCAGCAACCTTAGAGGGAGAAAAGCCATTACAGAGAAGACTTCTAAAGCCAGAGAGAGAAATTCCTGTGTGGTTGGCAGATACAGTGAGGGATTTGCATGAGATCCTCACATCCTGGGGGTGGCAGCAGAAGTCATGCACAGAACATCTGTGCTTGGGTGAATGAAGCTCTACTCCAGTCACT